GTTTCTCTCTCAGACACGATATGCGGTTGATTTATTGAAACGGTTTCATATGACTGAGTGCAAATCATGCCCTACACCATTGCCCTCTGACACTCGGTTGTCTTGTATGGATGGTGATCCCTTGCCTGACCGCTCCGCCTGATATTTCTTTTGTTGTCAACCAGGTGTGTCAGTTTATGCACAACCCTCGCACTTCCCACCTTCAAGTGGTCAAGCGCATTTTCCGGTATATTAAGGGCACGGTTGAGCAAGGACTCATCTTTCACAGGTCTAATGATTTCACTTTACGGAGCTTCTCGGATGCTGATTGGGCTGGTTCAGTTGATGATCGACGTTCTACCACTGGTGCTTGTATCTTTCTCAGTCCTAATCTTCTCACATGGACTGCCAAGAAACAGTCTACTGTTTCTCGCTCTTGCACTGAAGCCGAATATCGAGCTCTTGCCAATACTGCCGCTGAAATCCAATGGTTTGGTTACTTGTTTCGTGAACTTGGCATTCCCCTTCGTTCTGCACCATGCATATATGTTGATAATATTTCCGCAATCTATATGGCTGCCAATCCTATTTTCCATGCTCGCACTCGACACATCAAGATTGACTATCACTTTGTCCGCGAACTCGTTGCTCGAAAAGCGCTTAATACTCTCTATGTTCCCTCATCTCATCAACTTGCTGACATATTCACTAAAGGTCTTAATCGTGATCGGTTTTCTCTTCTTAAGTCCAAGCTTAATCTTCGTGTTGCTCCGTTGCGCTTGAGGGGGGGTAAAGAGAATCATGATGCAGATCATGATTCCACACAATCAGCCCATTCCATGAAATCAGCCGATCCCACTAAATTAGCATTGACAGACTCCCCATTACAAGATCAGCTTCATCCCAGCTAGGAATTAGTTTACAATTGATTCTGTAATATATAAGATTGATTATACTTACCTTAGATTACTTGCCTTCTGTAAATAGACTTGAGAAAGTCTAACCCGTGTAAAATATATATACAGCTGATAATACAAGAACAGATCATTCTGGTCTGTGCAATTATTCTTCACCTCTGTCTCTCATCTCACTTCCTCTTCAGTTTATTCTTCTTATACTTACACGGCAATGCATTTTAGGGACAGAACTAATATAAATTATAATGAACAACTCTTGAGACGCAAAGTTTATATGGCAGTAGTCTAATTTTCACCAAGTCTTTATATTCGAATATAGACCACTATATATCTGTTGGGAAAACCATACTCACTATTTATATAGGAAAGTGGTGGATGGCCACATTTACAGAGAAATTGGCTAACTGGGTTGCTGCTAAACAATGTTAGCTGCGGGGTTCTTTATTTTGGCTTACCACTACAGAGAAAGCAAAACTTCTGACATTTCATATATGACTTTTTGAGATAGCATAGTGCCACTTTGCTACTGAATTTACTATGTTGTATGCTAGGCTGCCAGCTTATTCACTACTACAAAAAACACTTTGCGCGACAAATGATTTTTGGTCGCGCAAAGGAAAATTTCGTCGCGCAAACTTTGCGCAACGAAATTTGGGTCGCGCAAGTTCTGTCGCGCAAAACTCGTAAAGAAAGGGTTTGCGCGACGGCGAAAATTCTTCGTCGCACAAAGCCACTTTGCGCGACGAAGGATAACAACTTGCGCGACGAAAATAACAACTTTGCGCAACGGACAATAACAACTTTGCGCGACGAATATTAATTACTTTACGCGACGAATATTATCTACTTTGCGCGACGAAGGTTAACGTCGCTCAAAGGTTTGCGCGACGAAATATTCATTTTTTTTATTTTTTATTTTTGAAAATGTTAAACTAAAATAAACTAATTTAATAGTTTGCGCGACGAAATAGTTTGTCGCGCAAGGTTTTTGACATTTTTTATTATTATTTCTCTTATATCAATTTCATTATATTAATTTTTTAAATTTAATTTAATTGTATGATTTTATTTTTCTTAATTACTTTAATTTAAATTGACATATTCAAAATAAAATTACATAAGAAAAATAGTGGTCAAATTATCCAATATACATAATATTCAAAATGTACACTTAAATTAACAAAGTACAATAATAAAATCTACAAGCATCTTATATCAAATCCTCAACTTTAGCCTCAACAATTCCCTACAAAAAAAAAAAAACAAATATTGTCAAATAACAAAACAATAACATAAAATAATGACAAATAATTGGCATAAACTCAAAACTAACTCCAAAAACACATATTAATGAAAAAAAATTAAAATTTACAGAGAAGTGAGTGTGAGAGAATTAGAGAAGATAGTGAGAGAGAGATGAGAGAGTGAGTGAGAGTGAGAGATGATGAAAAGAGATATGAGAGAGTGAGTGAGAGAGAGAGAGAGAGAGATAGTGAAGAGAGAGAGATGAGAGATTAAGTTAGAGGAGTGAGTGTGAGAGAAATGGTAGGATTTGGGGAGTGGGAAAGAGAGAGAAATGGTAGGATTTAGAAGACATTGAGAAAATGGTGGAGGAATTATTTTGCTTTTAAAGAACGTATCACTTTGCGCGACGAAACAATATATTGGTCGCGCAAAGTGTTTAAAATTTTTTTAAAAAAAAAATCCCATTTTCGGTGCCCGCCAAATTTTTTCAGTTTTGGGCGACGAATTTCTGGTCGCTCAAACTTTTGCGCGACCAAAATATTCCCGCATCCCATTTTTGGTGCCCGCCAATTTTTTAGAGAATACTTTGCGCGACGAATATTTATATATTGGTCGCGCAAAGTCGAAATTTTTTTAAAAAAATCCCATTTTTTGTGCCTGCCAAATTTTTTAGAGAATACTTTGCGCGACGAATATTTATATATTGGTCACGCAAATTCGAAATTTTATTTTATTTTTTTAAATCCCATTTTTGGTGCCCGCCAAATTTTTAGAGTATACTTTGCGCGACAAATATTTATATATTGGTCGCGCAAAGTCAAAAAAAAATTTTAAAAAAATTCTCATTTTTGGCACACGCCCAATTTTTGAGAGTATACTTTGCGCGACGAAATACTAATTGGTCGCGCAAAGTCTTAAAAAATATTTAAAGCTACTAATAAATACATATACTATTCAATTTCTTAAGT